TTATTTATGTAATTTTGTATATGGACGTATGTATATTTCTTATTATTTTTATTTATTTTTATATACTTAGATATATATACAAATTCATTCTAAGTGTATTTTGATATAAATATATATATATTAATTTTAAAATACAGTTAGAATAAAATTTCATATAGCTATATAATTTTTTAAAAATTTTTTATTATTATTTAAAAATTTTTTTATTTAATTTAAATTACTTATTATTTATATTTTATAATAATATATATATACAATATATATAGTTATTATATATATTATATATATACGTGTGTAATTTAATTATAAGTGTATTTTTATATTAATATAATTACATATTAATATAAAAATACACTTAGTATGGCATTATATATATGATATATAGACATATATTATATAGATATAATATATGTCTATATATCATATATACACATATATAATTATTATTATTTTTTTAATTAACACTAACTTTATTTTTTTTTTCTGATTTTACACTAGCAGGGAGACTGCCTGTCAGCACAGACAGTCCCCCAGCAGGCAGACACATGGACACCATGTGATCGCTAATAATTAGCGATCACATGTACAAGTCTAATCTGCCGTGGGGAGACTGTCTGGGCTGCAGGCAGTCTCCCCACAACCGGAGCCACGCTGATCGCCGCCGGGGGAACGACGGCGATCAGGTAAGTACCCCGAGACCGTTAGGACGGTTCAGGACCGTCATCGGTCGGCAAGGCAAAAATGCCGATGACGGTCCTGAACCGTCCTCGGTCCTTAAGGGGTTAAGATCTTGCAAGGTATAAATTGCAAATATTGCAAGGTATACCATATGAACATGTGACACATTTCCATATATGATATCTCTAATAAAATGACATGTACATGAAGAGGATGTTAGTTACATATGCCTTTTTGTACCTATATGTATGCCTGTCTCGATGCTAATTAAGTAAGAATATTTACACAATCTTTTTATTTTATTTTTTTTATTTTTTTAGTTTTTGTGTGAAATGTGTGAATTTTATGTACGTGTTTCTTAAAACTTGTCATGTAATGAGACTTTTCCTGTATTTTAAATAAAGAATTGTAACTATGTAACTATGTAATTTTTTTTTTTAAATACATGTAGATGCTGGTATGCTTGTATGTATGCCCACTATGAAATGGGGCTCACTGACTTAGAAAGGCAATACTTTAACAGTTTTACAGAACATTTATGCACGTAACAGCGTGTTGTAGAGTTTCTTAGTAACATATTAATCAGACTGTGGTTCAGTTTAACTCCTTAACCACTTAACAGTATAGACCTTTATGCTTTAAAAGTACCACCAGAGTTAAATCCCTGCTGGTACCAATGAGCCCTAGTTAGTGGCCTCAGACTGACAGATAAGCTATGTGCAACACTCACAATGAGTGCTACACATAGTTCTTTAAATCCATTTAGATACTATAACTGAGCAATTACTACATTAATTAGAGCAGGGGTCCACAATTAATTTTTCACATGGAACCCTTTGACATAGTGTATCAACATCGTGGACCTCCCCCCCCCGGGGAAAAATAATAATAAATTGAGCCATTTTTTGTATGTGTCGGTGTGTGTCAAGGTGTGTATGTCTGTGCTTGTATGTGCCAGTGTGTGTATGTGTATATCTTACACACAGATACTAACACACACACACACACACTGGCACATAGATACACACACCTTGGCACACAGTGTGTATGTGTGTGTGTGTGTGTGTGTGTGTGTATGTATGGATCAAGTATGTATGTATCTGTGTGTCAAGGTGTGTGTATCTGTGTGTCAAAGAGTGTCTATATGTGTTTGTATGTGTCTGTGTATCAAGGTGTGTGTATCTGTGTTTGTATGTGCCAGTGTGTATGAATCTGACACACAGATACACACACACTGGCAGATAGTGGCACACAGATCCATACACCTAGAAACACAGTATGTATCTGTGTGTGTGTATGTATCTGTGTGTCAAAGTGTGTGTATCTATGTTTCAAAGTGAGTGTATCTGTGTTTGTATGTGTCAGTTTGTCAAAGTGTGTATATCTGTGTTTATATGTGCCAGTGTGTGTATCTCTGTGTCAGTGTGTATCTGTGTGTGTGTGTGTGTGTGTGTGTGTGTGTGTATGTATCTGACAAACAGATACACACACACACACACACACAATGGCACATAGTGGCACACAGATACACCTTGACACACAGAAACACACCTCGACACACAGATACACACACTCAGATACACACTGACACACACATCTTGAGTCACAATACACACAGTGACATATACACACACTTGCACCCACAGATACACACTGACACATACACACACTGACACACTCAGATGCACACACACTGCCATACACACACACACAGGCACATACAAACACACTGATACACACTGGCACATACACAAACACACTTAGATACACACAGTGACACATAAACAAACCTTGACATAAAGATACACACACTGACACACTCAGACACACATACTCTTTGACAGACACACGTACACTCTCACTGACAAACACACATACTCTTTGACAGACACACATACGCTCTCACTGACAAACACACATACTGTTTTACAGACACACATACAGACACATATACACGCTCACTGACAAGAACACATACATTCTCACTGACAAACACATACACTCTTACACACTCACTGACAAGCACACATTCACTCTCACTGACAAACACACATATACTATTTGACAGACACACAAACAATAATTTTTTTTTTTTACATTTTACGCCACCCAGCCCCCCTACCTTTAGGAGTGCTGGCATGGAGTCCTTGTGGTCCAGTAGGGCTGCTGGGTGGCTTCTGAGTGGTCCCTGGGGTCCAGTGGGGTTGCTGAGTGGCTGGCTTTAGGGCGACGAGGGAGCAGTGATCTCTCTGCTCAGCTCCCTTGCGCGCCTCTTAATGATGCCGGAGCCGGAGTGAAGTCATATTCCAACTCCAGCATCACTGCTGTGCGCGCAAGGGAGCTGAGCAGGGAGATTAATGCTCCCTCGCTGCCCGCAGCCATTTTATTTTGTAAACTTTTGGTAGTACCCCAATTGGTGTTCGGCCGAACCCCAGGGTTCGGCGGAACACCAATTGTGAAATGCTGAATTAGAGCCTTCCCCAGCCTTCTCTTTACTTAAAACATGTATTTTAATAGCTGAAGGTCCTTTCTGCCATCTGAGGCCACAATTATTTGCCCCAGACTGAAAGAAGAACATCGCTCGAAGTGAGATTGACAAGTAACCCTTTAAATAACTCTGATTCCTTTGATATTGAGCCTGCCCTGGCAGTGAGGGAGACCCCCAAGATCTGAAAAGACACTGGTCAGGTCTCCTTACATGCCCTTCTGCCCAGTGACCCGTCATGGGATTTTAACAGCTGTCCTAGTACTGGTCACAGTGTGCGGAAGTTGCTGCATGAGAGAGAGATCTTGTACTGTGTGATCTGGGAGATTCCGATGATCTGAGGTTCTGTGATCTGTGGTTAGGAGTGGCAGTGATCTGGGGTTAGGAGTGGCATTAGGTGGTGCAATTAGTGAACAGATTAGGGGCAAGATTAGGAGTTAATAATGTGTAGGATTGTAAATTGGATTGGGGTAGGATTATGGATGTGATTAGAAATTAGATTCTAGGTAGGTTTAGTGGTTTGATTAGGGGTTTTATTAAGGGATGGATTAGGGGCAAAATTAGAGGTTGGATTAGGGGGGTTGATTAGGGTTTGTAAACACATATACAGTAGTAGGACAGACTTGGTCTGTGAATTTCTTCAAAATAAAACACATTTAAAAAAATAAAATTTCTTAACTGAGGTTTGTAATAAAATTATTAAAGGACCACTATAGTGCCAGGAAAACATACTCATTTTCCTGGCACTATAGTGCCCCGAGGGTGCCCCCACCCTCAGGGACCCCCTCCCACCGGGCTCTGGGGGGGGAAGGGGTTAAACTTACCTCTTTCTCCAGCGCCGGGCAGGGAGCTCTCCTACTCCTCTCCTCCCTCTTCTTCCGTCACCGACTGAATGCGCAATGCTTTCCTATGGACGCTGGCGTCTTCTCACTGTGAAAATCACAGTGAGAAGCGCGGAAGCCCTCTAGCGGCTGTCAATGAGACAGCCACTAGAGGCTGGATTAACCCTATTATAAACATAGCAGTTTCTCTGAAACTGCTATGTTTATAAAAAAAAAAAAAAAAGGGTTAAACCTAGCTGGACCTGGCACCCAGACCACTTCATTAAGCTGAAGTGGTCTGGGTGCCTATAGTGGTCCTTTAAATGAAAAGTGTCAAAATAGTATCAGTTTCATAATCTGGGGCATGTACTTTCTAGAAATACATTCTTTTGTGTAGCAATTTTAGATTCTGTGACTACTATAAAAGTAATCTCACCATGCCAAAGTTTGCAAAGTTTTAGCTTTAAACCCATAATTCACTCCTTGCATTATTTGTTTTACAACTTATAAAAATGAACAGAAATACTAGACATATTGGGCATTTTAACAATCAGGACAAATTTGTGAATCTATTTTGAGTTAGCTTTTTTAGTTGCGCTTGTTGTGAATTAATTATTAAAATTAAGGACAAAAAGATTTATTTATATTTTTTCATTTTTAATATTTTGCTTCTATTTAATATTATATTATGTATACATGCAGGGTGTCTCAGAAAAACTCTAGTTTGTATTTTAAAAATTACATATATGTATGGGTGCACTTAAACAAAACGGGTGAAATTGGGATAGCTTAAATGCATGGTAAAAGTGCCAAAAAAGCCTTTGTCTCAAACGTGTCACATCTCAAAAGAGTTCCTTGAGGGCTTAAATCTTGTTCTATAAGCATTTGTAAAACAACATGGATCATAAATTGGTCCTATAGACATGCTTTGGGAAACTGTAGAAATTAAGACAGAAACGGCTTAATATAAGGCATGTTGGTACTCCCTCTCATCTGCAGAACATTGCATCTAAAGTATTAGAAAATGAACATTAGGTAGTCTAAGAAAGTACATATTGTATTTTATTAAAGTTAAATGTATTTATCTGACAATCTGTACCTTGTAAACGAAACAATGCTGATTTCTTTAAAGAAGGTCATGCTCATTAATTTTCCAATAAACCTGAACATGTTTTTCTTGATAAAAATGGAATAAAACATAGATAATGTTCTTCAGCAAACCAGAATACGAGATAAGCCTTAAAAAAGATCTAAACATTTTTTTACAGAACATTAATTTAATATTTAAAGATTACAGAATTTTACAAAAATTGTACAAGTAAAAACAAAAAATGGTGGGACTTCCCCTTTGAACATGTAAAATGCTAAGTTTATCCTATGCTGACTTCTTTGCTTTTATCCTTTTGCCTTGTTTCAGTCTCTTGTATTTTCCAGTATGTTGTAATGCTATTTTCCAGTAACTATTAAACATGTACATTAGTGATGCTTAGCAACTGTTAAAAATAATAATGCTTTAATTGTAACCATTACTATGGACTATAGCCAACAAACTTGTCATATATTGGCTCTGATGAGCCTATAATATTAATAAAATATACTCACATCATTTGGGTCCTTACATGTCCTCCTAGGACACCAAAATACAATGAAAAATCAGTACTTCCAAATCAATAATATATCCTTCTATTTTAATCCCAAGACTTCAGGAATTTTTTTCCAGAGTCTTTTTAGCTTGCTCTGCCTTTTTATACCCCTTCCACTTTTCTTCTGTTAATATTTTATTTGGTTTGTGTTGCAAAGTTTTAAAAGTTGGAGACTTCATTATAGCACATATTGAATCATCACAACTCTCCATACTATGGCACAGTCGGTTATATTAGTCATGATGATTCTTCTGCCTACGTAAATGTCTATCTCAGGCCATTTGCAATGTAAGGGACTCTGTTACTCTCTACATTTTACAATTTTTGAAAACCCCTCAACAAAGTAATTTATGTCTATATAGACTAGCATTATAGCATTCTTTATTACGTGTACTATTCCTATGAATAATTTATTTAATGTGCTTAGACATGCTTATGTCATCTTGTTATATTACGTTACAGAATAAATTCCCAGCACTAAACGGAACACTAAACACAAGACATTTCTTGAATAATGAGGAAAGGTTTTAATTCTATAACTATTTATACTAATTTGTCTCAATTAAGCATTAACACAAAGGCAAAATGTAACTTGGTCACAGTCAATTGATATAAACATTTTTATTACATCACAATCTTCATTTAGCTGAATGTTATCCCAAAAATAGCAGTATTCATTTAAGAGCTTTTAAAAAAAAAAAAAAAAAAATCAATACATCACCAGTCATAGTTCTAATTTACTTATGAGTTATCAAAATGCTAAATATTGCCAGCTGTCTGTTGTAATTGCACATAATAAATATGTATTACACATAAACATACTGTATTTGCATCAAACAATAGTATACTCAACTCCTACTCCTCTCAACACTACAGCCACAGTCTCCGCCCACACACATAGCAACACCTATCATTCCTCATACACTACAGCCCCTATATCCCATCACCCACTACAATATTCCTCCCCCACACATATATCCTACAGTTACTATCCTCCACACAGATCCTATTCCCCGTTCACACATTCTACAGCTGCTATCCCTCAAACACACAGTTCAGATCCTATTTAGATCTACACGCACAACTGAAAATTACATGGAACATACATGCAGTCCCCCTCCTCTAGTTTTACTTAAATGAATACTCCAAGTACCATAACCACTACAGTTCATTGTAGAGATTACTGTGTCTCAAGTTCCCTGGTGCCATGCCATGGAAAATACGGTTTAACAGCATCTGGTCTTCTTTAGGATAATCTGGTTAGCTTTCCATGTAGCATTAGCTGAGCACTGTCAGTGAGTAAGTGCTATTCTGCATCAGCCAGTCATAACTCTGCAGTGACATCCACCTTATCCTGCTGGAGAAGACTGGATGATGTTTGGGTGCCTTGAGGACCCAGGTAATTCATCAAACTATACTAAAATAATTTCATTACATATTATGAGACAGTGTCAGAGAACTCATAACCACTACAGAGTTTTGCAGTGGTTATGATGCTTGGATTCAGTGTCTGTACTGGAGCCAGTAAGTTCAGGGGGACCCATCGAGTGGTCCATG